AAAGAAGGAGTGATCCTAAAAACAGTCCAACGTAAGAACAGGAGTGACCAAGAGCGGGGTGCTGTCTAAAGAAGCAAGACGGTAGGTAACCAAAGGGGAGAAGTATATTTGTATTACAGCTAAAGTGCATTTGGTCCAAGAGAATCTGCTGAATCTACTAGTTTCTTCTGTTCGCACATAATATAAAAAGCCTTCCAAGTGATTTCATATTTTTAAAAAATCTGTTATTTGAATGTTAATAACACAAGCTATTACCATATGATATATGAAGCAGTATCCAGGCAGATGACATTTAAATCTGCATCAAACAATCCCTTTAAAACTAAAAAAAGTTAAACACGTATGTTTCTATGTCAGCATTTAAATATCACACATGTAGGTTTCCTTCCATTGTAGGAATGCAAGTCTCCAAACTACTTACCAATTATACAAAGAATAAAGTGTATATTTACAAAGTTTTAAAAAAAAAACCCTACTGCCATCTAGAGCTTCTGACCTCATCACACACAGCTACTGACCTGCACTGAAGTTGAAACTTCCCCTTAAATGTCATTCCTATTATTGTTTCAAATGGTGTGCAACCAAATTAAATGCCAATCTACTTTTTCATAGTTTATATTATTTGACATTTACACTAAGATTCTATATGTCATTCCTGGAAACCATGAGATAGTAGTTACTGTTGGAAAATGCTCTAACAATTTACCTTTTAAAAGGAATACTTATTAATCTATTTGTCTATAATTTTGTTATTATAATAGTTTATAAACCTATATATTATCAAGGTACCACAATAAATTCCTTATACACTAATATTTTAATTTCCTTTGCGGGGGGCAGGTAATTAGGTTTACTTATTGATTTATTTTTAGAGGAGGTATTGGGGATTGAACCCAGGACTGTGTGCATGCTAAGCCTGTGCTTTACCACTTGAGCTATACCCTTCCCCCTTAATTTCCTTTTAACATACAGAGAACAAAGAAAATATTGATTCAAACTTGTGATAGCGAGGTCTAGTGACATTTTCTACTAAAGGTCACATTTCAAAACAATATGAACTACCAATATATCACCATTAAATAAACAATTTGTTCAGTTTAATGATAAAATATTATGATAAATACATCTATAGGTGTTATGTGTATTTGGAACATAAAATTCTACTTAGTAAGTTAATTATAACTTCACAATTGTCGTCAAGACAAATGAATAACTTTTAAATGAAGAGAGTCGTAAAAAACACTGATCTCATTTTCACAAAAGAGCATCTTGGAAGCCGGCATTAACATGACACACACTAAATTAAATACATGTTAAAGGATGTAAACCGTATGACTTACAACTCACATGTGAGCATTCAAGGGTGAATCCCTGTTATCTCTAAATTAAACAATTCAATCATCTAAATATCTGCTACAGTCTGCATGTTTGTACCCCCGCCAATTCATATGTTGAAACCTAATGCCCAAGGTGATAGTACTATTTTTAGGAGGTGGGGCCTCTGAGAGGTGATTAGGTCATAAGGGCAGAGCGCTCATGAGTGGGATCAGTGCCCTTATTAAGGAGTCTTGAAAAGCCCTCTTACCCCTCCCACCTGTGAGCTTACAGAAATAAGATAGCCATCTATGAACCACGAAAGGGGCTCTCACCAAATACTGAATCTGCTGATTCCTTGATCTTGGAATTCCCAGCCTCCAGAACTGTGAGAAATAAATTGTTTATAAGCCACAGAGTTTATGGCATTTTGTTATAGTAGCCTGAATGGACTAAGCCTATCCACTAAGAACAAAAAGGGAAATGGTTCATAAATATACTATACATGGATTAAGACAGTAGATATAGATCTCTATGACATACTGTAAAGTGATTAAGTAAATCACAAAACAGTATGTATAGCACTATACTGCTTATCTTCAGTAGAAAAGAAAGGTGCACTGTTGTGATACAAGAGAGTTTTAAAGCTTGGTCTGGACTCAAATCTGAGTCTGAATGCTAGTTTCAAGATTTAATAGCTGGGATTGTACTTTTAGCAATCTGTCTTGGGCAGGCTTTCTCAACCTCAATTTCCACATTTTGTAGTGGCAGATACTGATACTTCCATCTCAAAGGTTGTTGCGAAGTAAATGAGATCATACACTTTAAACGCTTGGCACAATCCCAGCCAGTGCAGATGCATAATAATGGTTGTTATTTTTATGGCCCTACCCTAACCTTAAGAAAAGAATTCGCTGGTACCATTTAAGAGTCAAGAAAAAGGATTTAAGGATTTGCCCCTATAGGGCTTTAGGCTTATATGACACATAACTTTGGTGGTTAGTAACAGAGAAGACTTCAAAAAAAGTAATACATGTGTACTGATAAAATTTTAGATTATTATAAGCAAATATGTGTACTATGTATAATTCACATATGTTATATTCTACTAGAGCCTAAAACATTAAAATAGTAAGGCTGAAAAGAAGCAACATATTGCTTTTGTAGGCATATGAAAGAATATTTCTGAATACACACAGTGAGTTTAGATGACCATAAAGATGGTCCATGGAAAGGATCAACCTGAAAACTCTTTTTATGATCCTTTCTCCTGATGTGAATTAAAGCTATAATTAAGCATGATAAAATGTTCTCATAGCCAAGAAACTTCCACAAGTAACGTTTAGGAAAATAAACTTAGGATTCTGGAAAGCTGCTCCATTTCAAGTTTTGTATTTTCAAGTCATCCTTTCTGAAAGTATATTGTCTTTAAAATTCTAACTTTCCTTTACCTCACTGCTTAAACATTCATAAGTGATCTGATTTCTGTCACTTTTCAACCTTGTGGACCTGAGGCTTAAGTATTTCATCTATAAAAAGAATTATCCATTTATAGACTTCATTATACCAAATTTCAAGGCAACATTTCCACCTACAAATAGAGTAGATATTCTACTTTAAAATCTGTTTTAACCTTTCTCCCACTGAAGATTTAATATTTGGCTATTCTCCTATAAATATTTTCAGCGAAGTAATTATAAAAGAGGAATATGGCAAGATCAAAGACCAAAACTTGTCAAATTTAAAAACAAAGAGGAGTGGCACAAATAGTGTTATTAATAGCCAAGAAATGAGAGATGAACATTATTGTTTGTCATTAATCAGTAATACTTTTTTAAAAAGCATATGATGCTCTTTGTACTCTTATTCTTTAAACACTAAAATGAAAGTAGAAAAGTAAAAACTACTTAAAAAAAAAAGAAAAATCTACTTGAAAAAAATTTAAGTCGGTGACTTTGTCACTGTAGATTTGGTAGGCCTCAGTAATTTAGGGTCACAGACTATTTGCCCAACAAATATTAATTCAATCAAATGTTTATTGGTATATTTTGTCAAAGCCTTTTGCTGTTACTGCCTTAACTAAAGTTACATGTTACATCCACCACTGCCCATTGTCTGACACAGAGACGTGAAATACTTTCCGTACATATGCTGGCTTTTCCTTATAATGTTCTCTTCAGGTGGGACCATCTTCTAAGGATATTGTTTTCCTGACACTTTCAGTAATTACACTGAACTCTATTGGGTATAATACCAAATTTCATTTATAGCAAGAAACCATGTTTTTAAAAGTAATAAATATCAAAATAAAGCTTCTATTAAAAAAGTTTGAGAGAAAAATTAGTCATCTAATTACCTACAAAGCGCTTGCTTCACTGGTCTCTGCAGGGCCAGTTTTCAATAAACAAATTTTTAAAAAAGATGCTTCTAAATTATTTGTCAAGGCTGCAAAAATAATTGAATAGAAAATAGCACCACATTAATATGCAAATAAAAATGGAGCCATCCATTGGAACTGAAAGCAGGAAGCCTCATGATATGACTGTTACCACCAAGGATCATTTTATGCAAATTTTTTCAATTTGTTACCAACCTACCCTAAAAGTTATTCCAGGACCAGCTGGAACTACTAGGAAACAGGCAAAACCAGATTACAGCTGACTCTTGAACAACACGGGTCTGAACTGCAAGCGTCCGTATACATACAACTTTTTCTCAACAGTAAACAGTACAGTACTACACGATCCACAGTTGGCTGAATCCACCTGTGCAGGAGGGATGGAAGGAGAAAGCACGAATACGGAGGGCCAACTATAAATTATACACAGATTTTTGACTGCAGGGAGGGTAGGTCTCCCTAACCCTCAAGTTGTTCAAGGGTCAAATGCACCTCATCTTATGATGTTTCAATTAAGAGCAGTCTGAGAGGCTAAACCAAAACCAAAACATGGTTGGTTACCCCTACAATGACAGTAGATCAGATTTTGGCACATTCCCTAAAATTAGTCCATCAATGACAGTTAAAGATATACTAAAGCCTTATTCCTTGGATTTCAGTTAGCATACATATATAGCAATCAAATATGTATGTTTAACTTTAAAATATTAATATAGAGAATTAAGATTATGATTCAGTCATGTAGCTATTAAATATATGCAAACAGCTGTTTCAAATAGAGTAATTTTGGAGTTAAACCCCCAGGGTCCATGGTTAGAATCTTTAGTAAGTAAATCCACATTTTTCTATTACAATTTTAAGCATTCACTTCCTGCAATCATTTTCTAACGGTTCAAGTCAATTTCACACTAAGCAATAGCACATGAATGATATCTGGGGTGAGTGGTCACATGAGAGAGGAAATTTGATCAATTTGAAATAACTATACTTAAGTGTGTGTGTGTGTGTGTGTATATATATATATATATATAAAGTGGAACATGCATTTTTTAAAAAGTCTTATAAAACCTGCCTGCATTCTGAAAATATAACAATGGTAGGAGGGCCATTTTTTAATAGATGTAATCTTTTTTTACTGGTTTAAACTTATAAGAAAGTTTCAAAATTTCACTGTAAAATTTTCCAATAAATTAATACTGTCAATTCAATATTTATAGTCAGTCAAGTATTGTATAGTTCGTGATTTTAAACAAAATTATGAAAGTTTACAGAAGAGAGTATCACTTACCAGCTGTTCTGATTTTACACCATACAACTGGATGGTCTTTGCCACGTTTTTTGACACCGCTAATGTGAGGTTTACATCAACAGCAGCTACATTCAGTTCACTGCAGAACACACAAACAGACTTTAATTATTAGCAACATAGTTCACCAATAAAGTAAAGAACAACATATAAACCTACACCCAATAAACAAAGTGGTGATTCTTTTTATAGATTTCACTGATTCCTTCTAAGAATTGACTGCATTGTTTCATTTTCCCTCCTAAATTCAGCATTAGAAAAAAGTGCTCTGAAATAGTTTGGTTAATGACCAATTTCTCATTAATAAAAGCATGTCATGTGTGGGTTAAGGCTGTGATTAAGAGAGCAAATTGTGTACAGATTTTTAAAGTAGCACTTTTGTTAATACTGATAAGTGCAATTAGAGACACTGCATATCACAGACATCTGCAAGGAAATGTCAGCTTTTGAATGGAAATGATGACCTGGGAAGGACATAAGCTAAAAATATAAATTACATGATACATAGAGGTACTCAGTTTCTGCAGAAATTATGCCAATTCGTGCTTATTTTGATAGAGTAGCTTTTTAAATACATCAAAAGCAAAACAGAGATTTAATTTGAAATTTGAAAAATCTGAATTGTTCAAGCATTTCTTTGTCATGCTTATTTTCAACTTTAACACTGGATTAATTAGGACGTTTGAGCTGATTGCAAAAAAAAATAAAATGTTTTACAAAGACCACCGAAAGTATACTAGGAGTTAAAAATTGCATGAAAACCCATATATACAGCTCTGATTTTGATACAGATTGTGTTGAAGCTGTGGATCAGCTGGCGGAGTGTTGCCATTTTAACAATATTGGGTTTTCCAGTCTATGAACATGAGGTATCTTTTGATTTATTTGGGTACTCTTTAATTTGTGTCAACAATGTTTTGTAGTTTTCAGTGTACAAATCTTGCACTTTCTAAAAAATTTATTTTAAAATACTATATTCATTTTGATGCTATGATAAATGGCCTTGTTTTCTTAATTTCATTTTTACATTCTTCACTGCTGGTGCATAGCAATACAATTGATTTTGCAAGTGATCTCATATCCTGCTATGTTGCTGAAATTGTTTATTAATTCTAATTAGTTTATTGCACATGCTTATTATTTTTTAAACTGGCATTTTGGACAGAGTATTATGGACCTGTTTAAATAGTCATCAACCAAAAAAACACTTAATCTCAAAAAAAAAAAGAAAACCCATATACAAGTAGAAAGCAAGAAAAGTAATTACTGTCTCTGAAGTAGCAGAATAAATCTTGGCACTTATCAGATTCTCTTTATGAAGAAAGTGAAGGACTTTGAAACAACACTAGTGCATAGGATGTGTGACAAAAATGCCCTTTCATATAACAGTGAGACACAATTTATAATGTTCACTTTGACATTCTATTAAACAATGGAATAAGTATGCTTCTTCAAGTTCCACATTCTAATTGATTATAGTGTTGTCAAGCTGCACAGGGGAATGGGAGAAATACCTCTTTAACATTTATTTCCATAAACAGGTCAAAGAGATCAAGTTGAATCCAGGATTGTTTTTGTCACTACCATACTAAACAGATAGTGGAGACATTAGGGTAAAAAAATCTAGAGTCAGGGCACTGGAAAGTCCAGATAACTGTGGAGGGATTTAGGATCGAGATGCTGGGCAATCCAGACACTGCATAGTTGTGTTTGCAGCTGGAGACATGCTTATGTATATTACCCTGTGGCTCTCACGTGCCTCAGAATCAGCATTTTCAAATTTGTGATCTAACAGAATCTAGACTTGGTCCTCTATTGCCTAACTACTATTTTTACTCCTCAAAATGTTCACATATAAATGTATAGACTTCCTGTTACGACACCGTGTTGGCTATGACAGGAACTGAGATAGTCATTAACTGCAGATTAACCCGGGTAGCTGAGAAGTGTCTAAAGGCAACAGTACAACTACACTGTCTGCAAGCATCCAGGTGGCACCTCTGCCAGGATACCTTCCCTTTGGAGAGTTTTAAAAGTTGTCACATTCACTTAGAAAGCTTAAAATAGCAAACATGAGGAGGCTAATCAGGATTATAATCCTTCTATGCTCTGAAGTACTTTCTGGGTTTAAGATGAAAAACCCCATTAATCTCTGTAATTTGTAAAACTATTTTTCTCATTTGTAAAATTATTTTTATACCTACTTTCCAGTGTAATATTAGAAATCGACTACGGCATAAAGAATTAGGCTGGTTTACTTTGTATCCCTGACAAGATACAGAATAATTATAATTGCCTATTTTTAGACTGTATTTAAATGGTCTTAATTGTAATCTCCAGTACTTACATGTGCACTCATTCACCACAGACTCTTGATTCAATTGCCAGACTAATTACTTAAACAGTCTGAGATAAAAACGTACTGTCATCATACATCACTAACAAACGTGGCAGGGATTTTACTGCATACGATTATATAAAAAATACATACCTTGTTATAGTCTTAATGATACCTTCAAGTTCATCAGCAGAAGGAGGATTACGACCACCAGGGGGAAAAACCAAGTTGATGGGATCAAAGAGTCGAGATAAAGATTTTGATAGATAAGCAGCCTCATAGGGTTGCAGCGAGTCTTTCAAAGCCTTTTCTGGACTGTGGGAGTAAAAAAAAAAATGAACTTAAAATATATAAAACTAAATGCTATTGTATTAGGTTGTAAATGCCTTTCTTTTCTTTTTTGGGGGGGAGTGGTTATTTATTTTTAATTTTTTTTAATGGCGGTATTGGGGGTTGAACCCAGGACCTCCTATATGCTAAGCACACAGTCCACTGCTGAGCTACACCCTCCTCACCTTGTAAATGCCTTTCTTAAAAACATATTTCCTATGTAAAATGTAATTGTATTGAAGAAAATTTAAAAATCTGTTTAAAATTGTATATATGGAGGGGGGGTATCTGTGGTAGAGTGTATACTAAGCATGCACAGTCTTGGGTTTAATTCCCAGGACCTCCGTTAAAACAACAAACAAACGAACATTTAAAAAAGTATATATACATGTATAAATATTTTTCATAATTACACATTTATTAAGGACTAAACTTTTTAATTTATACATAAATCCTAGGTATAAATGTACTGTAATATGCACCAGTACCCACTGTAGTAAATCGGTCACTTGAAACTAAAAGAGTAACATTAATTCTAATGGGGCACGCCTTCACAGAGCACACAAGGCAACTCTGCAGAGACCTGTTCTCACTAGCTCAACCCTCTTCACCCACAGCTGCCCTCTCATAGGCTCAGTGTCTGAGAGGGAAGTGCGAAGGTATAGGTTTTTATCAACCTTCTAATGTTAAACTGTTACTATCAAGAATGAGGACAAAATAAAAAGTATTTGTCAAAGTCGTACAACCACATAAATACTCCCAACTGGAGTTCTAAGCTAATTAAGTTTTACAGCGTTCTTCACAAGCTAGAATTCAGCCTTAAGACACTTCTTTCCATCTTAGTCCTCCCACGTCTTCAATTATTTGCGTTGCTTTTTATTTAGCAGTCCATCTATTAGACCTTACATTTTACCTTTGACAATTGCTATCAAGTATCTATAACCAATTTTTCTTTATGCTTTCTTACTCCTATAGTTAACTCTGCATCTTCTCACATCACTCCTGTTTATGATTCTTCTTACCAGTCCTTCCACTGTCTTAAAAACAAACAAAAATCCCTCCTCCTAAATGTTAATCTTGAAAACACCTGACCTGCTCCTTCATGTATAGGAAATCTGGCTTTCTCCATTTCCACACTTCCTGGTCAACCGACGAGACCTGGAGGTCAGAACACTCTTGGCTCCTACATTATAATTCCAGTTATCTCTTACCACTTTCTCATTCAGTAAATATTTCACTCAACACATAGTTCCTGAGAATACTGTACCAGGCCCTTGTTAAGTGCTAGGAAGGCAGAGATTAAAATTGCTTTACAGTCTAGGGAAGAAATGTGCAGGTGAAGTGCTGACTATAACAACTTCTACAGTGGATGCAGATAGAAAGACCACAGAGGGAACAGGAAAAACTAGCGTTTCAATCTGTCTGAGTCAGTCCCCTACTAAAGTCCACGCCGGCTATTTAAATGTTTCCCCTGTTTGTGCTCCTGTCATTTACTGACCTTAAGAAGCCTCTTCCCTCTTCTGCATAAATTTCAGCACTAAATTATAAGCACTAATATTCTTCCTGTTCTCCAAGTCTGCTGTAAGGATCTTTGGTGATTACAATGTCAAAACAGACAACTTTTCTACTACGTGTTCTGTATTAGAAGTCTATGTTTATTTTATAGTTTTACCATGGAGCTTCCATATTTGAGTCATCATTCTGAACTGCTCCACCTCTAAGATCTACAAGCTTGAAGACAACTTTCCACACCGATTTGCCCCTAGTTCCTTCCCTCCTACAAATACTATTAAATTTCTACATTTTGCCAAGTACTTCCTAGATGCAGGAAATGCAGCAATCAAAGCCGGTTAAAAAAAATTCTCTGCCCTCTTCAAGTTTATATGTTTATGAGACACACACACACAAAATTAAAAATTTTAAATGAGTTAAATATGGAATACAACGGAGAACAACAAATTCTAAGAGAAAAATGAAGCGTGAAAGGCAGAGAACTTTTTCTATGCAATTTTAGATAGGACAAGGCACAGGAAGGCTTCCTGAGAGGATCTGAGGGAAAAGAGGGAGCAAGTGAAACAGGTTTCCAGGGTAGGCACTTTCTGTGAGAGAACAGCAAGTGCAAAGGCCCTGAGAAGGGACCCTCCCTGGCTGTGTCTGCCAAAAAGTTAAGAGGAGCAGAGCACTGAAGGGGTAGAAGTACAAGATGAAAACACATGGAATAAATCATGCTGGATTTTGTCTATCAGTGAAAGTGCTATTTTACTCAAAAGAACTTGCTCTCTTGACCTCACTGTGATCAGTGCTAGGGACCCCTTTCCTATATGCATCCCCCATCAGCCCACCAGGTCTCATGTCCTCTATCCACAGCTGACCATTTCAAGGTGTTCTTGTTAGCATCCTAATTTTTCTAATTTACCTTCATTTCAAAGCTCTTACTAAGAAAATCTCATTTAGATGGTCTCTACGTCTGTCACTAAGCTGCCCAAGTATTGCAGAGAAAAAGTTGTTTATATTGAACACGTATACAAATCCCTTAACTTCAAGAGATCTGAAGTTCAAGGCATTAAAATTCTACCTTTGCAGCCCTCTTCACTCTCTATAGGTGATCATTTGCCTCTACTTTCCACTAAGACCAAAACCAGTGGCAGTGACCTTAGTCAACCTGGCACTTCTCAAGGGTTTTTTTTTTCCTCTGTAACTTCATCTACCCTCTGTAGCTTTATTTCTTTCTTCATATCAAAACCTCACAGGAGAAGTGAACCTAGCTCCTTCTTTCCTCTTCTCTCTTGTTAAAAAAACTGCTTCACTGAGATTTAACTTACATTCAGTTCAACCATTTAGAGTGTGTGATTCTCTGGTTTTCGGCATATTCACAGGTATGCACAACCATCACTATGTTTATCTTTGAACACTTCGATCACCTCCAAAAGAACCCTCATACCCTTTAGCTTTCACCCTCTGCCCCCTCACCCCACCCCCAGCCCTACACAAACACTAATATGCTTTATATCTCTATAGATTTTGCTATTTTTGACTTCCATATGAATAGTATCATACAGTGTACGGGTTTTCTTTCACTTAGCATAATTTTTTTCAAGGTTCAGTCATGTTGTAACATGTGTCCGTACTTCATTCCTTTTTGTCTGAATTGTATTCCACCGTGTGGATGCACATTTGATTATTCATTTGTCTCCTGATGGACATTTGAGTTGCTTCTATTTTTTGGCTGCTATGAATGTTGCTATGAACAGTTGTGTACAAATATGTGAGTGAACATATTTTAAAATTTTGTTTAATACATTTAATTTTTATTGTGATAAAATATACATAACACGTGGGTATTGTGCACAAAAAGGAAGCGCCCACGTACTGATCTCAGCTGTGTGAGGCAGAGCCTCAGCTAACTAGCAGCCAGGGGCAGGAGGAGAGATGCTGCAGCTCGGCTCCTCTTATGGAAGCAGCCCTCCAGTGCGGACCAAGGGAGGGAGGGAGCCTTGGTTCTGGGCTGCCCCGGGCTAGAGCAGAGTCCACGCCTTGCTGAGCTGGGAAGAGGGAGGGAGGAAACAACAGTCCTGGTTCTAATGTCACAGGCTCTTATGGAATTCTTTCTGCCAAATTTTCATAATTTTCTGAGTAGATTTTTTCATTTGCTGTTTGCTTTTAAAACCACTTTCAGAGGCTTTAAATCAGTTTTTATAGTTTTCACCAGGCTCACTGGGGAGTGGCTGAGAGAGTAAGGACTACTGTCACCCTAGAAGTCAGTCTTCTCCCATTCTGTCTTTAATCAATTCTAATAATGCTTTTGTATCTACCATTCCACGTCTACGTCCTGAACAACCTTATTTTGCTATATCAAGAGGTCAATTCTCAGTTCTAAGCTTCTTCAACTTTTCAATAGCCTGTGACACAGTTAACTATTCCTCCTCCAACTTAATGAGCTCATTCCTTGGGGTTGCAGACAACTTTGAGTTTTCCTCTTCTTTCTCCATATTTTTGTCTTAGGCTTGCTGGCCGCCTCTCCTCTGCATAATCTATTAATATTGGAGCGCCTAACTAGGGCCGAGGGCCCTTTCTCTTCATATCTATCTTCCCTGTGGAATCTCCTCCAGTGCCATGATTTCCACAGATCTGCACAGTGATGACTCTCAGCTATCTTTTTCTAGCCCTGATTCATACTCAACTACCTTTGCAACAACTCTATTAAAACATTATTTGCAAATTCAGTTCAATAGTTTCAAAAGAAAAACCTTAAATCAGCACTGCTCCATAAATGGAATGATGCCTTCCAGTCATTACAGTCTGCTGCCAACCTGTCCAAGCTTATCCTTGATCCTTCTCCTCCTCTCAAATCCAATCTATCAGCAAGTTCTACTGACTTGCCCTCTGAACTGTATCTTGAATCACTGGACCAGTTCTTACCATCTCATCCACTCATCCTACTTCAAGTCATTACCATTTCTTGCCTGCATAAACATAGCCCCCATTTCCCACTTCTCTCTCCCTGTGGTGAGCCTCCCCCTTAGTTGTCCACACAGAAGCTGGGGTGCTCATTTTAAAATGTTTATCAGTTCGTATCATTCCTCTGTTTAAAAGCAATGGTTAACACTGTTTTGAATAAACTCCAAACTCCCTATCATGGTGTAAAAGCCCTCCATGATCTTACATTTCCCTTCCTCTCTGACCCAATTTTATACCCTCCCCTTTTCCTCATTCATTGTGTTCCAGCTTTTTATTCATCGACCTCCCCACCTTAATTTTTGCAGATTTTAAATATGCTGTTCTCTTTGCCTGCAAAAATATTACTCCAAATCTTCCGTGGTTCATTTCTTCACATTATTTAGACCTAAGATCAAACGTTACCGTCTCACTACAAAAGACACTCTATCATATTATCTTGTTTTTTTTAAACATTTTTTATTGATTTA